GCACACCATTATGGGGGTGATTACTGAATAGCACAAAATACAACAGGGTAAGTCATGACAGAAAAGAAACAGGACACAAATGTACCCAAGATACCTATAACCCCAATAAAAGCGTCCACCAGAGAAAAAAAGAATTAGGAGAGAAAAAAGAGAGCAAAAATGATAGTGAGAAAGGAAAAAAGGAAAGAAAATAATATGAGGAGGAAACACCACAAAACAAAGAAATCAAAATCACAAACAAAAAAAACACCCAGAATAAACGGGGGCAGAATCTGTAGAGGCAGAGCTCAAATACAGAAAACAAGGTTAAGGAATTGGATGAATATGGGAAGGACCATGGTTTAGTATAGAGGAGGTAGGAAGAAAATGAGTGGTTAAGAATACAAAAGTGAAAAAAGAAAAGAAAAATAAAAACTATCTATTTATTTATTTATTTATTTATTTATTTATTTATTTATTTAAAAGGAGTATAGAGGAGATAGCAAATAGGCCTGAATTTAGGAAGTGAAACTAATTGAAAAATTAGGAGAATAAAAGAGTAAGAGAGGAGAGGAAAAAGAATTGACCAGCGAAGAAAGAGAAAAGAGAAGGGAAAATGGTGTAGGAGCAGGGAAGAGGAAATTAGATATAAGAATAAGCCAACAGAGAGTACAATAATAGTAACACATCAATAAAGCAGATAAAGAAGATCAATTTTTAACAATGGGTAAAAAGAAAGGAAAGAGAAAAACTAAAGTGGAGACAGGAGAAGAAAAAACAGGATGAAAAAGGGAGAAGCATGGAAGAGAAAGGTGAAAAAAAGAAAAAATAAGATAAAATAACAATAAAAAATAAAGATAGAATAAAAAACTAATACTTAAAAAATTTTTTATTTAAAAATATAAAAAAGTGAAGCGTCATTCACTTCAGCTGAATTTTAATGCCCCATGGGGACTGGTTTAGAACCCCACTCTTCTGTTCTGTCTACCAATTCTGGGATGCCTGTTAGGTAGTTAGGTCCTGACCACTGTCAGGCACTGTCTTTGGTGTTTTGCACCATGTTGAAGCTCCAAGTAATCTACCACTCCTGTGTTTATGTCTGTCTCCACAGGCTTTGGCTGAAAGCAGGTGGGACCAATTTGCCCGCTTTGCCTGTTTGTTTTTAACAGGGCTTTAGGTGGGGAGGTGTGCTGTTTCACTTTCCGGGAATCAGATAGATGTTTTTTTTTTCCCTGACCCAGAGCTACTCCTCTGTGAGTGGCCCAAAATATTACTCTGGCCTTGGTTGGTCAGAGATCCTTATATGGAGACCAGTGGGGTTGGCTGATAACATGGAGTTTTTATCAGTCTGGTTCTCATAATAGTGGGGTAGACCAGTCCCTCTTCCAACCCAGTCACTGAGAGCTCTTTGGGGCTATTCAGAGTCTTTGTTTCCTTTGTATTGCTCAAAATGCAGGCAGGGTGTCGTAGGCTGTATGACCTGACTTGAGGCTACTGGGAGGGGCTAGCTCTTCAGGAAATAAATGGCCACTTGGGTTTGGAAGGTTACAAATGTCCCAATGCAGGATTCCTGGTCATATCTCTTTGCCCTTCTTTCCTCCACAGCCTCTCCTCAGGCTCCACAAATCTATGCCTCTACCTGCACCACAGCCTCAGGTGAGTGTTTGCAATGGAAAAGTTCTATGCTTTGGGTTTAGCAAATAAAAGCAAAGACAAAACAAAGGCAAAACAACCACAAAACTGTGTATTTCTCTCCCCCTGCCCCAGCACCACACTGTTTGGGCCACTTTTCAGGCTGCCTTTCAGGGCACAGCCTTTCGCGGCTGTGGTCTTACGTCTAGATTCCATGGCTGCCAGCAGCACTGTGGCTTTTCCTTTTCACAGTTGGATGTTAAGCCTGTCACCAAGGGACACAACTTTGGTGCAATGCAGTATCCTCCTCACACTCTCAGGCCAGTGGTTCTGTGTCCCTCTCCAACCCAGATACCCATTTCTACCATTCTCCAGGCATCCTCTGCCCTTCCTTGTTGTGAATTGTCTTCTCAACTGTGTCTAATTTGTTAATTCCGGGTGGATGTTCTCCAATTTAGTTGCTTTTCCAGCCTGGCCTGGGGACAAGGTGCATGCCATGTCTGCCTATTCAGCCGCCATTTTCTTCCCACCAGATTTCTATGTATTTAGCAATGATTAATCATTTTTACTTATGCATTAAATTAAATCATCATAAAACTTATCAAACAGGAAGCAAGATGGCGGCATAGGTAAATGCCTGTACTCACCTCCTCCCACAACCACATCAAAATTACAACTAAAATACAGAACAACCATCATTTAGAACTGCCTGAAAGCTGGCTGAATGAAAGTCCTACAACTAGAGAAGAAAAAAAGACAGCACATTGAGACTGGTAGGAGGGGTGGAGGCATGGACCGGGCAGGAACTGCACCAATGTGTGCCATCTTTTTTAACCAGGAGAAAGATTGTCTCTGCAGAGGCCACTGTGAGGAGCAAGGGGACTCAGCCTCACACCAGACCCTCAGCCAAGTTTTCCAGAGCTGGGAAGAGAAGTCCCCATAACTACAAGCTGTAAAAACCATTGGGGATTGGGGCTTAGTGACACAGAGGCTGCTGGAGACCCAGGTGTTCCTTTCAAAGGGGCAGCACACAAACTGAACTTACAAGGTCCCACTTCTTCTATGCTCCAGCACCCAGACACATATGAGGAGGAACTGGATTGTCTGGCATCAGGGCATGGAGGTGCTCGCAGAGGTCATAGTTCCTGTGCTGGGACCTCCCTGGTTGCAGGGCTGACTGGCAACCATATCTGTTTGCTACCCGCTGGTGAATCCTTGCAACCCCGCCCATCCAATTTGCAGCCCCACCCAACCGGTTTGCAGTGGCTTTTGCATATGAATAGCCTGTCCTTGCTCAGGCTTCAGAGTTAGCTAAAATCTCTCAAACAAGCTTCAGCTGTGCAGCGTGCCCCAGACCTATCAATAAAAGGCCCAATACCCAGCTCTAGCACCAGCTTGCCTTGCTTCACAGCTGGGCCTTGGCTGGGCACCTCCAAGCCCAATACAAATAGCTCCTAAAGGGTGACCCCAGGCAGTGGCTGACTTTGCACCACCCTGGAGGCCCTAGAGCCAGTGCACCTGGTGGACAGCTTCAGATCATAGCAAATTACAACTCTAAACATCTACAAGCAACACACTCAAGACACAGACTCAATGAGGACCAAAGCCCACTGAAGCACATCCTGCTCCACAGGGGTGTTTCCTACACAGCAGCTCTCCCACTATAGCTACAGCTGGTCCTCACAGCCAACTGGCCTGGAGGTCAATTCCTCCCTGTGATGCCAACAACAATCAAGGCTCAACTATAAGACTGTGTACACAGCCCACATAGGGATGCAAATAGAGTGCCCAGCTTGCGTGACTGGGGAGGCTAAGCCACTGGGCCCTATGGGACACCTACTACAAAAGGCCACTCTACCAATTCCAGGAAACATAGCAGCTATACCTAATACAAAGAAACAAACACAAGGAAACAGCCAAAATGGGAAGAAAAAGAAACATGTCACAAATGAAAGAAATGGAAGCAAACAAACTTTCAGATACAGAGTTCAAAACCATGGTTATAAGGTTACGCAAGGATCTTCATGAGACTTTCAAGGATCTTAGTGAGAAAGTCAAAAACATGAAAAAGGCCCTAGCCAGTTTGGCTCAGTGGATCTCAGTGGATAGAGCGTTGGCCTCCGGACTAAAGGGTCCCAGGTTCGATTCTGGCCCGGGGCACATGCCTGGGTTGTGGGCGCGGTCCCCCCAGTAGGGGATATGCAGGAGGCAGCCAATTGGTGATTCTCTCTCATCATTGATGTTTCTATCTCTCTAGCTCTCTCCCTTCCTCTCTGAAATCAATAAAAATAAAAAAACATGAAAAAGGACCAGTCAGAAATTAAGCATATAATAACTGAAATAAAGACTAATTTACAGGGATTCAACAGTTCAACAGTAGAGTAGAGGAGTCCAACAATCAAATCAACGATTTGGACTATGAGGAAGCAAAAACAAACAAACAAATAAAAACCCACAATTAGAATAGCAAAAGAAAAAAGAATCAAAAAAATCTGAAGGCAGTGTAAGGAGCCTCTGACACAACTTCAACAAGTGTACCAACATTTGCATTATGGGGGTGCCAGAGGAGATGAGAGAGAGCAAGAAATTGAAATCCTATTTAAAGAAATAATGACAGAAAACTTCCTCTACCTGGTGAAAAATAGATTTAAAGTTCAGGATGCACGGAGAGTCCCAAACAAGAGGAACCCAAAGAGGCCCACACCAAGACATGTCATAATTAGAATGCCAAGGGCTAAAGACAAAGAGAGACTCTTAAAAGGAGCAAGAGAAAAGCAGTTAGTTACTTACCTACAAGGGAGCGACCATATGACTATTAGCTAATTTCTCAAAAGAAACTTTGCAGGCCAGAAGGGAATGGCAAGAATATTCAAAGTGATGAATAGCAAGGACCTACAACCAAGAATAATCTACCCAGCAAAGCTCTTATTTAGAACTGAAGGTCAGATAAAGAGCTTCACAAACAAGAAAAAGCAAAAGGAGTTCATCACCACCAAACCAGTATTACATGAAATGTTGAAGGTATTCTTTAAGAAGAGATCAAAAATATGAACAATAAAATGGCAACAAATACATATCTGTCAACAATTGAATCTAAAAATCAAAATAAACAAACAAGAAATCTAATGAACAAAATAAACCAGTGAATAAAATAGAATCAGAGGCTTGGAAGCATGGAACAGACTGATGAATCTCACAGGGAAGAGGGGAGGGGGAATGGGGAGAGATTAACCAAAGATCTTATCAATGGACACAAACAGTAGGGCGGTGAAGGCCTGGGGTGGGGTGGGAACCGGGTGGAGGGGGACATTGGGGGTATAAAAGGGGACATCTGTAATACTCTCAACAATAAATATTTGTTAATTTATCAAAATTATTTTTATACTAACCTGAGCATCCTGTATTTCAGCCATAGATTCCCTGTTGATATTTTCTATGTCCATGAACAGTCTATCAATTGCCTCATGTATGGCAGGTGAACTATCTTTTACAATCAGATTTTGAATAATTTCTGAAATAACAATGGATGACAAGAGTGCTGTGAACTATCACCATTGGGTAAAAGTAGCAAATCATTTTGAAATCAGGCCCTAGATAGTTTGTCAAATGAATATAACATGAAAAAATTTTGGATGACCTTTAGAGTAAAACCAAACTAGAGAAAAAGTTCTTTTAAGCTAAAAGTGGAGTACAATTTTCAAATGAAACTTATATTCCCCAGGAATCATTTATTTATAACAATCATTACTCTCATTCTCAAAAGTAAAATGCTTCACAAATAGTAATGTTATTACAGGTCATCTTAAAACTACAAAATAGAAATTAATGCCCTGACCGGTTTGGCTCAGTGGATAGAGCATCGGCCTGCGGACTGAAAGGTCCCAGGTTCGATTCCGGCCAAGGGCATGTACCTTGCTTGCGGGCACATCCCCAGTAGGAGGCCTGCAGGAGGCAGCTGATCGATGTTTCTCTCTCATCGATGTTTCTAACACTGTCCCTCTCTCTTCCTCTCTGTAAAAAATCAATAAAATATATTTTTTAAAAAAAATAGAAATTAATAATGTCTTCAAAACTAGAAAATGTAGACATTCTGAAGGAAGACTTAGATATGTGCCCTGCAAAATTAAAATACTTACCTGGTATTAATATTTTCAAGCATTAGACAGACATAGCTAACTTACCCTGTCTCTGAAGTCTTGACCTTACTGTGTGAGAAAAAAATGACTTGCTCTGACAAACAAAATAGACCCAGAGGCATGGAAGCATGCAATAATCTGACGATTCTCAGAGGGCAGGGGAGGGATGAAAGATATCAACCAAAAAACTTATTTGCATATATCCATAACCCATGGACACAGACAATAGTGGGGTAAAGGCCTAGAGCGGTGACAGAAGTGAGGAGGAGGTGGGGTCAATAGGATAAAAGGAGGACATCTGTAATACTTTCAACAATAAAGATAAATAAATAAAAATGACATGCGCAATTAGTCACAACATTAGCCAGTTACTGAATCTGTACAAATGATGTCATCATTTTTTACACAGTCTGAGCTCCAGACTCCATTGAGCTAAATCTTACTAGGACATGGAATTCCAGAAACCCAAGATTGACATAGAATCATAACTGATGCCTTCTATACTATCAAAATTGAGGTTTTTCCAAACTCACGTAACAGAGGTCTTTATATCTAGATGTCTGTAATTTTTGAAATATTTCTGAGCATCAACTAGCAAAATGTTGTTAATATTCATAAAAATACTATAAGAGTACCTTCTGAAAAATAATTTAAGCTGCATCCTGCTATTTAACCTACTACAATTAACAATAAACCTGCTAAATGAAAAATTTTCAGTTAAACATCAAAAACTAGACTTCGCAAAGCAAATTAGGTTCAAATATACTCAAATCTTTTTTTACAGCTCATGGAATCTTTAGTACCCAATGCATGAGCAGTGGTATTAGGAAAAATATAAAAATTATGTTGTACACAAAGGGTGATAAGATATATACAAAAAGAATAATCTCTAGCTTCTTTACTCCTGTAAATTCATGAGACATATTAAGTATATTGATTCTTCTAAGATTAGGTAAATATTAGGCTGAAAGTCATATATATTACAGCCCTTGCTTAAGCTACAAGTTGGGGCCCAGCTAATGTGGTTCTGTGGATTGCGCATCATCCCATGCACCAACAGGTCGCTGGTACAATTCCCAGTCAGGTCATATGCCTGGATTGTGGGCTAGATCCCCAGTAGGGGGCATGCAAGAGGCAGCCAATTGATGTTTATCATCAATGTTTCTCTCTCCCTCTCCCTTCCTCTCTAAAAAAAATCAATAAAAACATAGTTTTTTAAAAAACAAGGTGAGGCAAAAAGTAGTTTTACAGTTGTTCATATAGCAAATAATATAATAATTAATAATAATACAGGAATAAACTATGTTTCATGTACTCACAGCTGTAAACCTACAATATGCACATGACATATTACAAAATTATATACTTGAAACTTATATAATGTACTAACCAATGTCACCCCAATAAATTTAATTTGGTAATTTAATGCAGACTGAAGAGTCCTGGATTTGATTCTGCTCAAGGGCATGTACCTCAGTTACAGGCTCAATCCTGGCCCCCATTGGGGTGCGTGCGGGAGGCAACCAATCGATGTGTCTCTCACATTGATGTTTCTCTCTGTCTCTGTCTCTCCCTTCCACTCTCTCTAAAATCAATGGGAAAATATCCTCAGATGAGGATTAACAAAACAAAAAAAAGAAAAGAAAAGAAAAGAAAAAAAAGAAAGAAAGAAATGTGGCCTGGCCTTGGTTGAGCATCGAGCCATGTGCCAAGAGATCCCAGTTTGAATCCCAGTCAGTGCACATCCTGGGATTTCAAAATTGATCTCCAGCAGGGGGTGTGCAGGAGGCAGCCGATCAATGTTGATGTCAATATCTTTATCTCCCTCTCCTTTTCCCTCTAAAATCAATTAAAAAATATCTTTAAAAAAGAAATGTGCTAAATATTTACAATGGAATATTATTCAGCCATAAAAAAAGAATGAAATCTTGCCACTTGTGACAACATAATGGACCTTGAGGGCATTATGCTAACTGAAACGAGCCAGAGAAAGACAAATGCCATATGATATCACTTATATGTGAAATCTTAAAACAAGCAAACAAACAACAAGCTCATAGATACAGAGAACAGACTGATTTTAACCAGGGGTCAGGGTTAGGTGGTAGAGAAATGGGTGAACGGAGTCAAAGATACAAACTTCCAGGTATAAAATAAATAACTCATGGAGATGTAATGTACAAAATGGCAACTTTAGTTAATAATACTCTACTGCAGCCCAGCCAGTGTGGCTCAGTGGTTGAGCATCAACCCTTACACAAAGAGGTCACCAATTCAATTCCCAGTCAGGGCACATACCCGGGTTGCAGGCTCAATCTCCAGTGGGGGCATGCAAGAGGCAGCCAATGGATGTTGATGTTTCTCTCTCATTGATATTTCTATCTCTCTCTCCCTCTCCCTTCTTCTCCCTCTAAAATAAATAAAAACATATTTTTAAAAAATAATACTCTACTACATATGTTAAAGTTGCTAAGAGAGCAAACCTTAAAAGTTCTCATCACAAGAAAACAAACTTTTGTAACTATGTATGGTAATGGGTGTTAACTACTATGGTGATGACTTACTGTGGTGATCATTCACAATATATCTATAATAATCTATAATAATAAAAGCATAATATGCTAATTAGACTGGACGTCCTTCCGGACAACCTTCTGGATGAAGCCGGGGCTGCAAGGGAAGCCTGGGTCCTGAGTACCTGCCAGCAGCCAGAGGGAAGCCCAGCCTACTCTTGCAAGAATTTCGTGCATTGGGCCTCTAGTACAAATATAAAATCACTAGACGCCTGGTGCACAAATCCGTACACCAGTGGGGTCCCTCGGCCTGGCCTGCGGGATCAGGCCAAAATCAGCTCTCTGACATCCCCCGAGGGGTCCTGGATTGTGAGAGGGCACAGGTCAGGCCAAGGGACCCCACCGGTGCACAATCAGGGCTGGGGAGGGACGCAGGAGGTTGGCCAGCTGGGGAGGAGTCACAGGAGGGCTCCAGGGCATGTCCAGCCCAACTCACTCAGTTCCGATTGGCCGGACCCCAGCAGCAAGATAACCTACCAGTTGGAGCATTTGCCCCTTGGTGGTCAGTGCACATCATAGCAATTGGTCAACCGTCTGCCTCCTGGTGGTCAGTGCACGTCATAGCGAGCAGTTGAACAGCCTTAGCATATCATTAGCATATCATTAGCATATTACACCTTGATTGGTTGAACGGACAACCAGATGACCAGACACTTAGCATATTAGGCTTTTATTATATAGAATTATGGTGTATAGCTAAAACTAATTTAATGTTCATGTCAATTATACCTCAATTTTAAAAATTAGGAAAGCTTTAAAAATGATGTTTCTAAAAAACCAAATATTATTTAAAAACATGTCTTGAAAAGTTTTTGAAAAGAAAAAACTACATAGAAATTTTTTTCACTTGCTTTTAAAAAATTCCAAAAATATTTTAGTAGAATACCAATTATAACTTCTGGTCACATAGTATATGAGACTGTGAAGACATTAATTTTAATTTGTGCATGTTCTCTTAGTGTTTAATATAATTCATTCTTTGTCAAAATAATTCTGGTCCTTTCAAAACATATTTTCAATGTTATTCACTTGAGCAATTTGACTGATACTAGCTGAAACAATGACAGCACTGCAGATATTTAGGGTAAAATGCAGTCAGCAAAGCTCAGTAACTAGTAGAGATCACATAGCTGAATGGTTGAGTTACATTATGAAGGAGACTTCCTTCTGGCAGAAGCTCAGTTAGGAGCTCCTATAAATATAGCCTATTCCTGAGATCTGAAAACAACATGCTATATTAAGGTTATATCAAGCAAGATTGTACATTTTGAAAGAAATTATTAACATGTTAAGCGCCAAGCCTGTTTTGTCTTCCTTTCCGTTTCAGTCACCGGTGACTGACATGGTGCTTAACGTGTTAAATTATCTTCCTGGTTAATGAAATAAACTACTGAAATAAATAAACATTTATTTATACTGAAATAAATAAACATTTATTTCAGTCAATATAATTTAAATGAGATTCATCCTAGTTAACACTAGGAATGGGGCGTCACACTATTGAGAGAGCTGTGTTAATCAATACCAATTAATTCTGATTAGGTAGACAGCATTGTAGGAACAGTATAATAGAAAATAAACATTTTCCCTGTCCTTGAGGCAGGGAGCTTCTGCTACAACATGGAAAAATATCTATCAATATAGTCCTGTCAAGTCTCTCCCTGTGACCTCCATCAACTCAACCATTCAAAAGCCAAAGCAGTTCAAAAACCTACAAGGGTCTATTCATGAGTTTGCTCCCAGTCACAATGATTATCTGCAACTTCCTCAGTGAGAAAAGAACTAAAAATAACAATAAAATTAACTTTTGCATTGTGCTTTATACTCTCAAATCTTTTCATATGCATCCTCATTTAATTATCAATCTACTCTGTAAGGGAGATATTTATATTTTATAAGATGTGGGATCTTAGATTTAACAAAGTACAGTAACTTCTCAAAGGTGACACAAAGAAAGTAGCAACTAGGACTTGAACTCAGGCTTTCTAATTTGAAATCCTATACTATTCCAGGAAGAGCCTGGAATAAGTGACATGCCAGGACTCTGAGACAACTGTAAAACAGCAAGAAGAGAAGAAATGAGCCACCACCATTCAGAGTGCTACACTATAATTCTAATTGTGAGCTAAGAAAAACTATTCCAGCAGAGGCTGGTTTGAATGAGGACAGCCAAAATATCCAAAAGTTCAAAAGGGCATGGCAAACAGGTTTAGTCACAGACTAAAATCACATTGTAAATCATACTTTCTATCGATGACCAGAGAAATAATAATTTATCTTATACGACATTCAGGAGGATCCAAGTGACCAGCTGGTATGGTACAAGAAAATCCAAGCAGCGAGTGATCATACAGACGTCAGATGGAACTGCATGCACTATAGTTCCTAGAGAACTATTCACAGCAGTATATTGTAGTTCTGAGCAACATCCTGGGCCTGGAGGGCAACTTGGAAATGATGCAGAGCAGTCTAACTCCATGAAAATCATAACAAGCAGAAATGATACAGCTCCAAAGCTCAACAGGTACCTACAGTATATCCCTAGCATATTAAATCTCAAATCTGACGGCCAGTATGACTTCATTCCAAACCAACCTCGTCCATACTCCACAATACTGTTATTCTTTCTTGCCCTGGACAGAACTGGCTGAGGAACTGGAGCAAACTTATGCCAGGGCTCATCAGGAGAGAAATCTATGTAGTTTTAGAGGGAAATTTGCAGAGGGAGATGAAAATGGAAGAACTAACAATATCATGCTAACCAAAGAATTTTCAGCTTGATTCTGGTGAGGAAACACATCCAGTCATGTTCAGGGCACTAAACTTTAGAGACTATCAGAAATAATTATACTGACACTGAAAAAACTTTATTAGTAAAAGGAATGTCTCAAAAGAACCACAATTCAGTCCTCTCAACTAAATGCACTTCGTGTAAAAATTGCAATGAATCTACATATTCTGTATTTTTCACACTCCTGTAAATGTAAGGCCCATAACCAAACTCAATTTGCCAATTCATCCAATCTTATCCCTAATTATCTACTTTATAAAGTGTCTATACGTACATATTACTCTTTTACTCTCATTACATCCTGTTACCCCTTTGTAGCTGAGTGCTGCTGTTCTTGACTAAGAATCTTCTATTCAGGTAAGATCGAGTTTGTTTTAATTCCGTGGCTGCCAAGGCTATTTCTATCTATATAAACTTTACTTAATTAATTTCTGTTTACTAAGTGTTAACAGTGGACTAGGCACTGGAAGACTTGTCCAAGACTTTCCTAGTATATTCACATTTAAGTAAGACCAGAATCAATATGTGGAAAGGTTGGGAATGCAGTAGGCAGACTATAACAATACAGTTGGAAGGCTGAAGTGGATTAACTAGTCTGAGTACATTTTAACAAGGAGGTATCTGAAAGAAGAAAGAAATCTAAGTTGATTCAACTGTCTTTGTGGTTTCTTATCTCTATACTAGTGTAAATGATACACAATACATATAAACTAGAACCTGCTTGCAAAAGAGGTCAAAAGTTTAATAAAGTCAAAAGAAAGATGACTGATTTTCCACACAAGCTATCTTTAGCCTCTGCATTCCTAATAGAATGCACTATTTAGACTACTAAGCAAAATGTCATAAACAATTAGACATCCTTTGAATTGTTTTGATGGTGATAGAATAATATAGGAAAACTTTATCTTAGCCTATGTGCATTTCCAAATCATCATCAGAAATATATAGAGTCACCCCTGGTGACAGTGTTGCTATCTATGTGGGCAATATGAATGAAATAGACAAGAATTCTTTTATTCATTCATTCAATAAATACTAATAAAAAGGCATTTTCCTAAGCAGCAAGGATATAATATAAACAAGACATAGTTTTCTCCCTATAGGAGCTTATAGTCATTTCCACATAAGATATGTTGATATACATGTTATCAATCAACCAATTTTTTAGAGTATAAATCACCTTAAAATTCTAGTAACACTAATTTTACAGTTGATTAAAATAAAGCATAGGTAAGTTAACTTGCCCAAGATCAAAACTATTGGTAGCACAGCACCAACAGAATTCAAGACAACTGCACTCTTTCTGCTCTGGCTGGTATCTACATTTTTCCTGTAAAACTTAATTCAGCAAACATTTTTTTAAAATATATTTTATTGATTTTTTACAGAGAGGAAGGGAGAGGGATAGAGAGTCAGAAAGATCGATGAGAGAGAAACACCGATCAGCACACTCCCCACTGGGGATGTGCCCACAACCAAGGCACATGCCCCTGACCAGAATTGAACCCGGGACCCTTGAGTCCGCAGGCCGACGCTCCATCCACTGAGTCAAACCGGTTAGGGCCAGCAAACATTTTTTAATTGTCTGCTATCAGGCAAATACTGGGCATCTTGTTAGGAATGCAAAGATAAATGAGGAGGTAGTCTATGCAATCAAGTAACTTACAATATAATGTAGTAAGTGCTGTGAATACAAGATGCTACAGGAATATAAAAGAAGGATTGAGTAACTGCCCAATTGAGAGTTGGGATATAGGGATGACAGGATAGGCTTCACTAAGGTGCTATTTGAGGTGGGTCTTGAAAGGTGAGTTAAGAGATTAGCCAAGCAACACACCAGGGAGAGAAGCATAGAGGTGTGGAAAAACACAGTGGGTTCAAATAATCATAAGTAGTTATGTATGGGTGGAGAAAAGGGTAACAGAAGATTACAGGAAACACCATTAGAAAGGTATGTAGAATCCAGAACTTGAAACATATTTTATGACATACTATAAAGGTTAACTTCTGTTAGTTATTCCACCTCTTTATTTCATAAACTATTATATCTACCTAATACGAGTATACCAAGTGACCCCACCAAGTATCTCAATGAGATTTCTGTACAGGCCACACAGAAATTATGTTCATGATTCTGAACTATGTGGCCCTCTCTTGGGACATTCCCTAATAACTCTACTATTCCTAATCTGAGGATCCCATTGTGGCATTTTAAGGCATGGGAAAAAATAGTTCAGAGAAGCTTCCAAATAAGTACAGTCCTTTGAGATTCAATGAAAGCCTATTATCTTGAGTGAGTTTTCCAACTAAAGTTTTTAGTCTAGATTTGCAGTTTAACATGGCAGCCACGTGGGGCTATAGAGCACCTGAAATATGGTTAGTCCAAATTGAGATATGCTATAAATGTAAAATACACACCAGATTTCGAAGATTTAATATGAAGAATATAAAATATCTCATTAATGTTAATAACCAAAATAGTTCGTAACTTATTCTGTATACTGATTACATGTTGAAATAGTATTTTCGATATGTGGGGCTAAAATATAGTATTAAAATTTTCATTATTGCTTTTATAAAAAATAATTGTACCTGTTTCTCTTTACTTTTTAAATGTGGCTACTAGAAATTATTTTTAAATTACATTTGTAGCTCACATTATATTTGTACTGGACAGAGCTGGTCTATAGTATATATTGTGACTGGATTCTGAAAATTTGATGAAACCAATTAGCTAATATCTATCTCCCCAACAGTTGTCACAGATTTAACAAAAAGAGAAAATGTAAACTTGGATATTTTAATAGACAATAAGGGCATTTATATAACAGCAAATACAAAGATTTAGAAATCTAGAAAAAGGAGAACTATCTCCAAATTAACCATAGGAAAGGGAGTTCTAGAGCTTGATAAACAGTTGCCATTCTTTAAGAAGAAATAACCCTCTCAACTGTTTGTTATTCCTATATTAAGTCACCTTCTATGATGTATGGTTCCTGGTGCTTGCCAAGATGAGAAACTTTTTTTCTGTTTATTTTTGTTTTTGTCGTTTATTGATTTTAGAGAGAGAGGGGGAAAGAGAGAAGGAAACATCAATTTGTTGTTTCACTTATTTATGCATTCATTGGTTGCTTCTTGTATGTGCCCTGATCGGGGATCAAACCCACAATGTTGGAGTATAGGGATGATGCTCTAACCAACTGAGCTATCCAGCCAGGTTTTGTTGTTGTTGTTTATTTTCATTTTTTTTATTGATTTGAGAGGGAGAGGGAGGGGGAGGGGGAGAGGGAGGGGGAGAGGGAGGGGGAGAGGGAAATTGATTCGTTGTTCCATTTATTTATGCATTCATTGGTTGCTTCCTGTACGTGCCCTGACTGAGGATCGAACCCACAATGTTGGCCTATCAGGATGATGCTCTAACAAACTGAGCTATCCGGCCAGGGTTTTTTGTTGTTTGTTTGTTTTTGTGTTTTTTTTATTGATTTAAGAAAGAAAGGAAAGGGGGGGGGGAGAGGGCGAGGGAGAGGGAAAGAAACATTGATTTGTTGTACCACTTATTTATGCATTCATTGGTTGCTTCTTATATGTGCCCTGACTGGGGATCAAACCCACAACCTTAGTGCATTGGCACAATGCTCTAACCAACTGACCTACCTGGCTAGGGCCAGAAATTTTTTTCTGAATTAAGAGGGATAGCTCTAGGAAACTCCCAAGCCCAATTGCTATTGTTTCTTAAATTAAGAATTTTGGCCTTTCAAAACCTGTCCTCCTAGGAAATACTCTAGACAATCTGTTGAAACCAGGCTACAAAGGCACTTTACATCTCAGCAAGTCCACTCCTAGATATTTCCCCCAAGAGAAATGAAAAACTAAGTCATTTCAAAATATATACATGAATATTCATAGCAACTTTATTCATGATAGCCAAAAATGTCTATCAACTGATAAATTGTGACATATTCATTCAGTGGAATGCTACTAAGCAATAAAAAGGAATTAACTACTCTTATGCAGTCATATGGATGAATCTCAAAATAATTATTCTTAGTGAAAGACACTACAGCCCAGCCAGAATGGCTCAGTTGGTTGAGCATCATCCCGTGCACCAAAGGGTTGCCAGTTCGATTCCTAGTCAGGCACATGCCGGGTTGCAGGCTTAAGCCCTGGTAGGAGGCATGCAGGATGCAACCAATGGATGCTTCACTCTAACATCAATATTTCTCTCTCTCCATCTCCCTTCCACTCTCTCTAAAAAAAAAATCATTAAACTGTTCTTTAGAAAAGAGAAAAAAAAAGACACCACAGAAAAAAAGAGTACATAGGGTATTGTTTCATTTATAAACTCATTTGCAGTGATAGAAACCAGAACAGTGAATGCTTGGGGTAGAATGTGAAGGGTAGATTGACCACAAAGGGGCATGTTCTATTTTTTTTTTTTATCAGATTCGTGGTTATATAGGTAACATTTTCTCTCCCCCCGCCAAAAAAAAAAAAAGGGGATCAACCTGTACATATAATGAAACTAGAGGTCTGGTGCACGAAATTCGTGCACCAGGGTAGGGTAGGGTCCTTAGGACTGGCCAGCGATCAGGGCCAATCTATGGGGCAACCGGCAGGGCAATTGGGGCCCCTCGCTTGCACCCGCCTTGGCTGGCCTGGGGCCTGCGGGCTGGGGGCAGTTCCTGCATTGAGTGTCTGCCCCCTAGTGGTCAGTGCGTGTCAAGGCGACCGGTCGTTCCACTGTTCAGTCTATTTACATATTAGGCTTTTATTATATAGGATGTATGTATTTTATTATACCTATTAATTATAC